TCAAAACTGCTTTTCTCCATTCCCGCTGTTAGTTTTCTTGATGTCTGCTAGTGATTTACCAGTTTTTATTTCCTCTACCAGTTAGTGGATTTAAAAACAACAACAACAACAACACAAATACAAAACACTCTACTATATCTACATGGGAAACACCATCTAATCCCTCTCAAATGACGTTCCTGGGTGAAAATTACTGAAGAAACCAGTCTGGCTTTCACACATTCTATGTGTGAACATCAATCCTTTAAATGGCAGTGGCCTCTGGGAGGTGGAATTGAGGAAGCTAGGTGCAAATGAAAATGGAGAGGTGAAAATTCCAGATAGTTTTCAACTTCCAGCTCGAGAACAGATGAGAAAGAGATCAATTTGTGTAACACAAAGTGCATTTGTGCTTCCTTTCAATTAAGGCTTCCATCCCGCCCTCTACTCCACCCTTCATCTGATGGCTGTAAGTGAACACAAACGGGGTTCTGACTGGCGAGTGCAGCCTGCAGCTTTGACGCTTCTCTTTCTTGTTTCTTTTCTTTCCCCTGAGCGTTTCGTTTCCTTTCCGCATCACAGCCAGTTGTGCAAGTACTCAGAGAGCACGTTGCGTTGGAGCAGTCCTTACTCCCTGAGATCTCACCCGAACAGGAACATTTCCACCACCACCTCACAAAGAAAGATGCACACTCTAAAAACTTCGTGCCCTTTGGAATCGGGGGAGAAATTATGGAATGAACGGTGGGTGACACCTTGACCATCCACACAGGCGTTCTTTGGTTACACCCCAGTTGATTTTCTCATACCTGTGAGGTAAGTGTTGCCGACAGCTAGAACAGGGGCGCCAACTGTGACTGAGTGTTGGTGTGCAAGGAGGAAAATCCAGACTATGGCTGCTGACAGAGACGCCCCGTAGGAGGTTTATATTTTGTCCACAGGCTGGGATGAACCATGGGGAGCAGGTAGTATCGATGCAGCCCTATGTCATATTTTGCCCGATGCACCTGACAAATCCAGGATGAATTATAGAACTGCAGACTTCCAAAATGCTCCTTGGCTAGACAACATGTTCCATAGGCAGGACGGCTTAGAGTAGTACACAGTGCCTATACAACGTCTGATTTGACAAAATACATCAAACGCTTCCTTAAAAAGTCATTTCGATGAGACTGAATTCCAAGGACTGAGAAACTGAAAGACAGCAATATAGAGAGGAAATGAAAATGAATTTAAGAACACAAAAAAAAGGAGCCGTGCCTCACCAGGAAGGAGGAGCCTTTTCAAAGCCCTGCCTACCCACTTTCTTCCTCAGCCTAATCAGTCACAACCTGCCCTAGTCACTTGGCACTTCGCGTTTAGGGAGAGACACTTGTGATATTTTCTCCTTCCTGTTTCACTTGCAAAACCGGAGTGTTGATAAGGACACAGGAGGGTGGCCTGAAAGTGACTTTTAAAGAGAAGGACAGAGCCAACAACTCCTTCAAGGAACATAGCAGTGGACCGAAGAGCTTCTGCAAACACTGGAATCTTCTACCCACTGCCCCATAACAAACGTCTGAGACCTCTTCGATTCTTGTAAACAAAGGGTGCTATGGATGGTCTCTTCTCCATATTCCCAAGCACATTGGCAATCTCTGTGTCTCACGTGTTTCACTGGAGCCCCTGGGTTGTAGAATCCCGGGGTACAGTGACAATACTGTTGGGGTTGCTGAGCAAGTGTGGTGGACTTCTGGAGATAATCATTTGCATTTGGGACTGGGATACTGAAGAATGAATTTGGAGTTGCTCTTTGGTGTGCCTAGAGTTCACTTAGGGTTGGGGGAGATTTCTGAAAGAAATGTTCAGAAATTAGCCTACTTTATTATATACAAAAAATTAAAGCCTGCCTATTGGAGGGAAGGAGTGTGAGCACACAAAGGGGCCTTGAGAAGAGACCTGTGAAAAAAGAAGGGACTTCAGACAGGACCAAGCTCATAACAGAAGGAAGGACAGATTCCTAGGGAAGAGGGAGGTGAGGCTACATTTCCTTTCAGCAGGAGCTGGAAACCCGTTGGGCAGTTTTAGGGCAAGGATCCCGAAAGTGAGCAGTTCTGATTCTTGTCTGTGGTTCTGTCCTGACCACATACAGAAAGGCCACAAGTATTTGGACACTCTAGTTTCTGATGAGGTGCCTCATTGCTGCATCAAAATGCCCAATCAATGCAACTTAAAGAAAAGAGAGTTGACTCTGGCTTATTCCCAGGGCAGTCCATCATGGTCAGAAAGACCTGGTGGGGGGAGAGTCATGTAGCTAGTCACACCGTGACTACAGTCAGAAGGTAGAGGCGGGGTGTGAATGCTGGTGACAAGTTTGCATTCTCCTTTTTATTCAGTACAGGACCCAGCATAAGAAACGTTACCCTCTGTGCAAGGTGGGTATTCCCACCTTAATTAATCTAGATCCTTCCTCACAGACATGGACGTAGTGTGGAGGGAAGTGTAGGTGGGGCTTGGAGGAGGTCATGGAGGGAAGGCTAGGGAAGGACATAATGCTTGTCTCTGAGGTAAGTTTAGATTCTGTCAAGTTGACAGAATTAGCCATCACACAGTTGGACAACACCACTTTGCATTTTCCTCCCTCCTACCCTTCCTTCCTTCTCTTCTGCTCTCATTCCCATGTTCCTGAAATTATACCCTCCAACGGGGCACAGGCATGTAGGTATAGCTGGGCTTCTTTTCCAGAGAACTGTGGGTATCACAGAATGTAAAAAAACGTAGACTCAAAGTTAGCAATAAAGGTAGAAAAACAGAAAAGCTTTGCTGCATTTGGGAGAGCTAGGTGTCCTTAACAGATGGGTGGGAGCAGACCTGGGCTCTGCACCCATCTGGAAGCTGGGCTGACTAGAGGGCAAGAGTGAAGAGAGGCTGTGGAATCCTGACCCCAGTCAGTCCCCGTTCTGCAGGAAGTGGTCACCAGTAGAGAGCGTTAAGGATCCTCTCATGGACTTACACCAGACATGCATGGAAACAGCTCAGGGGAGCCTCACACTCAAAGGGTGAAATTATTCACAGCATCACTTATATCAGTAGGGGACCAGTCATCATTATATATGGAGAGAATTGGCGTGACAGACCATTGTGACCGGCAGTGACTCTCTGGACAGGACCCTAGAGGTCTGTGCTTTGTATGTACTTTAAGGAGAGCGTCTCTCAAAGGTGCAGATCACGTTTCTTAATCCTCACCACAGTCCAGGGAAGCAGCCATTACTGTCACCTCCACATCACATATCAGGCGTCCAAAGGTGTGTGAATTCACACAGACTCAGGATTTGAGCCTCTTTGATTAAGCCCCACCTGTGTTTTTCAAGGCAGCCAAGGAAGGGCTGAAGTTCACTAGGGATCTGAACCAGGTTTAGTTGATTAGTGACTTGACGTCAGCCATGAATCAAGACACAAGGAGAATGTTTCAAAGACTGAGGAGAAATGGGACCCCTCTAAAGTTATGCCAGGTAAGGCAATCTGTGTTTGGATCGCAGACCCATAATTATGTAGATTCACATACATCTTTTTCAGATATGCATAAATTGGGGGAGTATGGGGAGTGTTGTGGGACTAAACGTATTTGTATGTGTTCAACATACTGTATAATTGACTCAATTATCCACGAGGGGATTATTCACTTTTAATTTGCAATCTGGCTTGTCTCAGTTATGGTGTTCTTGGGTTGCTCCAGGAATGCCAACTAATTTAAATAATAATTTGAGTAAAACATAATTAGGGAGGAAAATTAAATTCGATCTTTTGCCAGCTCTTGAACAGCCTACTATTGAAATGTAATCCGTGTGCTGTCTTCATTTTCCGATGCCTTTTCACTCTCACAGGATTTGATTGCTATGATTATGGCAGTGACTTCCTGTATAGTTTTCCCACTTATCTCTTTCCAATCAGACCATCGTTAAAAACAATCAAACCCCTAACATTTAGTGGCTACCCACTTTTCTACAGGTAAGTGCAGAGGCCAAATCCCCTCACCAAAGCTGCTTCTAGCTTTACTTCCAGACTGCCTTTGACAGGCCAGTCAAATCATTCTCCTATTCTCAGCCTTTGCTCACTCTTTCTTCTGCTGAAACACTCTCCTCAGCTCTGCAGGCTCAGATAGCTTTTCCTATCTTCCAGCTCTTCTCTGCTACCCCAACCCCTTAACACATTCCTCCCGTTTTTTCTAAGGCAGATAAAGGTTTTTGTGGAATGCATTGTCTCCTTATTCTCTTCTGAGAAACTTAACTACACACTTCGCGGTGATTTATTTTTCTTCTGTGCTATGCTGGACTCCAAAGAGAGTCCTAACAAATACTTGTCCATTTTAATTGCTGACAAAACGTATTTGTCTGTTTGAATCTCCAATGCCTAACTCAATGCGTGGTATACCGTAGGCACTCAATGAATCTACTGTAGAAGGAACTGGACCAGAACTGTGCTCTGCAGAGAACTCTGGGGATGCAGACACAGGAGGGTCAATAACAAGAGTTGGTAGCATAATCTCTCCCGACAGGGGATGCTCCTTGGCCCATTTCTCCATCCGTAGACGCCTTGGAGCTTGCTTAAACCCTCCACTAAAACTGAAAAAAAAAAAAAAAAAAAAAAAAAAAAGGTAAATGCTACATGTAGTACATGTTTGTGAGTGCAGTCATGTATACACGTGCATAAAATGCACACATAGGGTTGGGGATTTAGCTCAGTGGTAGAGCGCTTGCCTAGCAAGCGCAAGGCCCTGGGTTCGGTCCTCAGCTCCGTGGGGGGGGGGGGGGGGGGGGCGGGGGGGCGGGATGCACACATAGACAAATATGCCTAGCCAGGAATGCAGATATAAAAATAAAAATAAATACACATGTACAGCCCGGATTCCGAAATGGTCAGAGTGGTAGAAATGATGATCATGATCTTCCTTTCCCTTTCTGGACCACGCACAAGCCTTCTGGAATTCTGCTCGCTGCAGCCGGATAACGCAAACGTCCCGGGTGGCGCGACTTGGCCCTTCCGGGCTTCCGTCAGGCTCGCCGTCATTGGCTGCGTTGTGCACAGCTGACGGTCGCGCGGGCGAGGAAGCTTCCAGGATGGCGGCGTCCGCGGCGCTGATCTTGCCCGAGAGCCCCAGGTAGCAGCCAGGCCGAGCGCCCCGCCACACTGGGGTGACCTGTTGGGGCGGGAGCTGGGGTGTCGCCGCCGCCTGCTGTTAAGGTGCGGTCGACCCGGGTCGGGAGCCCGAGCAGAACGCGTAAGGGACTTGTCGGGGCATGGAGGAGGGTGGGCGGGGCGTGGAGGGAGCGTGGGCGGGGCGTGGAGGAGAGCGTGGGCGGGGCGTGGAGGGAGCGTGGGCGGGGTGTGGAGGGAGCGTGGGCGGGGCGTGGAGGAGAGCGTGGGCGGGGCGTGGAGGGAGCGTGGGTGGGGCGTGGAGGAGAGCGTAGGTGGGGCGTGGAGGAGAGCGTGGGCGGGGCGTGGAGGAGAGCGTAGGTGGGGCGTGGAGGAGGGTGGGCCGGGTGTGGAGGGAGCGTGGGCGGGGCGTGGAGGAGGGTGGGCGGGGTGTGGAGGGGGCGTGGGCGGGGCGCGGAGGTCTGGGCGGGGCGTGGAGGAGGGTGGGCGGGATGTGGAGGGGAGTGTGGGCGGGGCGCGGAGGTCTGGGCGGGGCGTGGAGGAGGGCGTGGGTGGGTGCGTGGGTGTGTTGGTGGGTGGGCGGGGAGGGAGGGGTAGGAGCAGCGTGCCTCCATTCTGGAGTGCTTCATCTGCTTTGAGTTTGCAGGGAGCCTTGGCCGCCCTGGTCTGTCCTGGAGATACTGACGTGAGGGACTTTGTAACGCAGGTACTAGAAGTTACTAGATGCCACCCGAATTCTGTTCAATTTCTTGGGCAAATGCTCTGTGTTTCTAGTTATTTCAGACCTGATGATGGTGGGAAAGGTTCACGCTAGTACGATGGCATGATTAACAAATAACACGAGTTAATAGCCCCTTGAAACCGAGGTCAGACAGTTCAGGCACTCGTGACATATTTAGCCAGCCTTGGCACCATTAATAATGTTTTCATTTTATGTAGTTTTTAGTTTTTTCGGTGTGTTCGGTAAGACCGGCCGGCTCTGGTGGTGATGCAAAGCCCAGTCCAGTTTTAAAGAGTTTCTTTGGCGGAATGGTTTCTTACTCTGTCGCCAAGATTGGCCTCATACCCGAGATCCGTGCAGCCTTACCCTCCAACAAGCTGACGCTATTGGCCGCCCCACCACATCCTGCTCAGATTTCCCCCATTAAAACAAAATTATTTCATCAAAAACTGACCCAGTTTGTGGAGGCAGAAGAAATACTCATGAATGCAGGTAAACATATTGAAGGTTGAACACAACACTGCTGCATTGGGAAGAAGACAGTTGGCATTTTAAAGTTTTTCCTTCCGTCACTGGATCTGACAAGCCACTTCTTTCCTTCAAGCTCTTGTCCTGGGGGAACACGAACACACACGATGAAGGCACAGTCAGGAAGTACGCGGTTGTGCTTACCACACAATTTGAAGTTGTTGATTACAAGTGACCCAGGTTGTAGAGTGACTGTGCACTCTAAATGGTTTTGTATGTATTATCTTTCCCCTCCCCCGCCGTTACTTGCCATCATTATCCTTTATGGTTTTGGTGTTAATCCCCTAATTTGCTGTGTTCTTCTTCATACTCCTTTCCAGTTCTGTTTTGGATTAAGTGGTAGCATGCATCCCCACTGCTAATTACCTCCCCCAAGTAATTTGTCTGGGAAGAGAAAACTGTCAAGCTTTTCAACAGGTGTGCTTTTGGGGAGAGGCGTCTTTTTGGAAATGCTCAGAGTGTTTACCTGTCACTCATTTCATTTTATTTCACTAAGAGGACATAGCTACTAGAGTTGTTGAAATAAAAATGTATCGGCAGCAATGGCAAATACCTTTTGAAACTGATTTTGGAACTTTTTTTTTTTTTTTTTTTACAAACTTATTTAGCATGAAGAAGGCAGTGCCGCTGATAAACGCAGTCGATACCGGAAGATTCCCACGCCTTCTCATCCGAATTCTCCAGAAGCTCCACCTGAAGGTCTGCGTTTCTGTGTTCCTGTGGCTTGTGACCCCTCTGACTCCCCCGAAGCTTGATTGGGAAAACTGTGGGAAATACTGTTCTCTAGTGTGTTCGTGGGAACTCTAGATCTGTGGAAGATTTGATAATGTTCTCTGGTCAAAAGTCTGGGGAACTTTGTATTCCGTAATTAACTTAAAAAAAATGGAGCTTTCCAGAATATTTTGAATACTAATGTTTGGGTCACATATTTAAGGGTGAAAATTTGACTTTGGAATTGTTTTATCTCTGTACATAATGTTCTATGGAACATGCTTTAGGAAAAGGCTGATGTCCTACCTGGTAAAGATAGTTCAGCCCAGAGCTGGAGGGATGCCTCAGTGGTCAAGAGCATGGACTGCTCTTACAGAGGACTTGTGTTTGGTTCCCAGCACTCAGTTAGTGGCTCATAGCCACCTGTAACTCCAGTTCCAGGGATCCGATACCTTCTTCTGGCTTTCTCGGGCTCCTGCATGCATATGGTGCATATAGACTCATGCAGGCACCATGCACACACATGCAAATAATCAATACATCTTAAAAATAACTCAGTATTTCTTCTCACACAGTATTTAATTTCTGATTTTTCTCTTTGCGTTTATTTCAAGGGTACAGTTGGTTTGGCCGTGTGGATGCTTGGTAATTAAGTTATTTGGTAACCGGTCCAACTTAGATTCTTTATTGGGTTATAAAATTGCATTGACCATGTTTATGGAGCACTTGCTAAATGCTCTGCATGTAGGCACCAACATTCAGTTACATCAAAACTCTTTATTGGCCAGGAGACAGCTCTGGACCCATAGTCTACTCACTCTGAATTGTCTCTGAAATCCAAAATCTCCACATAGTTTTTATTTTAGATCCTTATTGTTTCCTGGCTTCAGACTGGTATCTGTTACTCATAATCTTTTTGGTTTTAATCTTTTTTTTTTACATTTATGTATTTCTGGGTTTTTTTTTTTGTTTTTAATGTGTAGGAGTGCTTTGCTGCACATATGTACGTACATCACATGTGTTTTTGGTGCCCATGGAGGCCAGAGAGGGCATTGGATCCCCTGGAGATAGAGATGGCTGTGAACCACATTACGTGGATCCTGGGAACTGAACATGGGTCTTTTGCAAGAGCAGCAAGCACTCTTATCCACTGAGTCCTTTTTCCAGCCCTTGACTGATTCCTGATAATACCATTCCAGTAATGTTTCCAAATGTTTTTCTCTTTTAAAAATGTTGACCATACTTAATGGCATTTAGAAACATCAGTAGCTGTCCCTTACTTACCACATGGGGAAAACTTCAAGATCCTTAACACTGTGTGGGAGCCCAGCTCTCACCTTTTCAAGGGTTCTTAGGAGGAGGAGAGAGGGATAAGAAAATATTAGATAGAAAGAGAAACCTAGCCAATGAGAAGAAAGACAGAAACACAGGATAGCCTCATGAGGGCCTGGGTCAATACCCAACAGCCCCTTCCGTTTATTCAAAAGGACTTTTTATAACAATGCCAGGGGAGAGGCAAAAGAACTCCGCCTTGCAAGATCAAAGCATATGCAGCCAAGTGTAGACCCTTCCAACCACCTGGTAACCACGTCTCTGGTCACATCATCTCCTTATGTAGCCCTGCTGGGTAAAGCAAGCTCAGATTCTCTGAGCCTGAGTAAGTTCTCACTAGGAAGCCTTTGTGGGCTCCCATAGCTGTGTGTGAGATCCGTTAGAGGATGGTAGTGGCCTCCGTTCTCCCTACTTTTCACTTGCAATCACACTGTACGGTGCACGTGTATTACAGTGTTCTAGGGCCTTTTTCAATCTTATGTTGTGTATGCATTCCTCTCCCTGCTTCCACATGCCCTTGTTCCCTGCTTCACTGAGAGAGCATAACCTTCCAAGCATTTTGTGATCTCACTCTCAGGCATTGCTAGTCTCTTCTCTGTGCTTCTGGAATGTTTGGTTGATTCTCAGTTCACCGTAGCACTGCACTACAAGCACTCATTTCTCAGAAGACAACCAAATCCTTAAACTTCATCAGTCTCTCTACCTACAGCCTGGAGAGTCATGCCTTCCTCACCTATTGGCTCCCTTTCCCAATACGTTACTCACTATACAGTCGGCACTCGATGCATACATTTGGAGTTAATTCTTTTCCTTCATCGGGAAATGCAAAACCAATACAGGAACTCTAAATCTGTGCCTATAGTGAATCTGTGATGTAGCTGGTGAGGCAGGAGGAATAGCAGCAGCAGGAACAGTCTGTGTGTGTGTCTCATCTTACACATGAGCAGTCTGCGTGGGAAAAACTGAGGGGAGTCACACAAACTTCTGTAGCAGAGAACTTAGAAACAGGTGTTTGTGGCCTGTGACCTTAATTAGTGGTTACAGCTCGTCCAAGTAAAAACGTGATGTTTGACCCCCATCACGGAGATTTTAGGTCCCCACATGAAACCTATTGATGTAACTGCTGTATGCTTCCGTCTGCAGAGCCAGCTGTCTGGGTCCCTGACCAGAACACTAGAAACAGCAAAACAGACTATAGAAGGTGAAGTGGGGAACGGAGATGCAACTATGCTGGAGGAAGTCATCAGTTTCAAGGAGTGATTGCTAATTAGGAGATGAAATGGAAGAATTAGGAAGACCAGATATCAGAAACCTAGAGCACAGATGTCTGAGGTGGTCTAAAATTAAAGCAGAAAAACCGTCCATTTCTCAGATTCCCGGTGATCAGTTACGTCACCACGAGAAGTTCATTTCATCCCACTTAGCTGTCTAGAATGCGGGTCGTAGTTCCCATTACAAGCACGGCCGTTTGCTTTCACCGTGGACTTGGCCTTCCTCTTAGGTTCTCTCTTCCTGTAAGGGAGTCCTCTGCATGCACGCTCTGGGCTGACTGCTTGTGTGTCTGTAGGCCGAGAGCAGCTTCACTGAGGAAGAGGAAGAAAAGCTTCAGGCTGCCTTCTCTCTGGAGAAACAAGAACTTCACCTGGTTCTGGAAACAATATCCTTCGTTTTGGAACAGGTATTTTTATGGCCTTGATTTCCTATTCACTGCATATTTTCATGACTTTAATATCTGCGGCTTTCTATATTTTTATATAGCTATGTAAGATGGAAACTATCAGGATGTTTTAGTCAAGGGTTTCAATATACTGAAACATTTTTGAATGCATGGCTTCTTTCCATAGCACTTCATTCTGCAAAAATACATACGATATAGTAGTAGTAAATATTTAACAATGTGAACTGGGCCTTCATCTGATTTTAACTCATTGTTTCTTGGTGTAGCTGGAAAAACGAACCCTTTTCACTGAAGAAGTTGAAGAGGTGATTGGGTAGCACGCATTTGATTAGGAGGCTATAGAAAGAAATAATGTCGTAATTCTTTTACTACGGAATTTCCTTTCTATACCCTTTCTTCTCAAACTCCTTCCATCCTTTTCGTTCCTGTTCACATCCTGTTACTTCAGTGTGTCCTGGAGCTGTCTCTGTTTAGGCACTGTGTGTTTTTTCTTGCTTCTTTCCGATGAGTGATTTTTAGTTTTATGCCCTAGAGCCTTCAGTGGGTGGCATCTTGTTCCCAGGGCATCATTCCTATCGTCCCAGTGCCAAGTGTAAAGTGCCAGGTTTCTCCTGCATCTCATTAGTCTGTAGCAATTAGAGCCATGTTGTCTGCATCCACCATACCTGAGCTGTCCTTAATTCTGACCGTGTTCCAGGTTCTTTTTTTCATGTGTTCTCTCTTTCTGGTTTTTCTTACAAATCCTGGCTAAGGGCAGTGAGCAGTAACCATGCCACAGACTGTATTCTGCCTTGAAATTTCCTTCACCAAACGTATTCATCCATTATTTATTTTATTTTATGTTTATGGGTGTTTTGTCTGCATGTATGTCTGTGCACCATGTGCGTGTCCCGTACGTACCCTCAAGAGTCCAGAATTGGGTGTGGAACTAGAGTTACAGACAGTTGTGAGCTGCCATGTGGGTGCTGGGAACTGAGTCCATGTCTTCTCGAAGAGCAGCTAGTGCTCTTAAATTTATCCCCCAGTCCATTATTTTTTAATTTAGCCTCAGTCAAATTTCGGGGCACATGTAGCGTGTAGCCACCTGGCTTGTCAGACTGTAACCCGAATGACTTCTAGTTCCATTTCTGATGGAGTCCTTGTTCCTCTCTGAAACCTCTGAGTATCATCTTTCCTATCTGCATTTCTCTCAGAGTCAACATCGGGGTCTCCCGGCAGCGTTCTGGAGCTTTTCTAGCCTGTGGCTCTAAACTCCTTCACCTGTATTCTTTCCATATACCAATGACACAGGCCTGTAAACCCCATGGTCAGGTTGATCACAGCAGTAGCCCCACTCCTCATACCACTTCCCTCTCTCATTTGTTGTTATTGGGACCAAACACATGACTGAGCAGGGAGGGTTTATTTTGGTGGATGGGGTTTCGAGGGATATAATCCATCTGGGAAATCATGGAGGTGGGAGCGGCTTGTGACTGAGGCAGTGGGAACATCTGTTACCAGGCTCTGCATCTTCCAAAGAGAGTGAGTGCCACAGCTGGGATTTGTGCTCAACCACCTGAACCTGTGAGGGACACTTCATAGTCAAACCTTAGCCTGGATCATCGTGATGACTGGTTCTTAAGTTTGGTGAACCTTCAGTAGAAAAAGAATGTAGTTAAACAGAACAGCGCAGGATGGGGTTTGTGGGGAAGTTGTTCTCAATTTGTGTGCGGAACAGAACAGATATTCTTAAAATTATTGTAGAATTTTCTTGGTTATGTGTAACTTTGGTTGGTAGATAAAGGTAGTTTTGAGGACTCCTTGGGAAAAGTCTAGTTGCTGAGACCATTGTAAACTTTGAGTAACTGAGATAAATGAAATAAAACTTTACCAAGTAATTTTAGTATTATTAAACCACAAAACAAAACATTTAGCCTGAGCAAGTTAGAACTATTTACCATGGCTTTTAGCTCTTTGTTTTGTATGTTGTTATTAATAGAACTGTTGAAAATGCCTGCAAGAGGGCCATGGAGTCTTTTTGATTTAAATTGTTTTAATGCTGGGGTTGGAGAGATGGCTCAGCAGTTAAGAACACTTACTGCTTTTGCAGGGGACCCAAATTCAGTTTCCAGCATCTGCTTCAGGCTGCTTAAAAGCACTGTGGCTCCAGCTCTAGGGACCCAATACCTCTGGCCTCCACAGGCCCTGAACTCATGTGTACTTATTCCCAGCATGCGTATACACACACACACACACACACACACACACACACACACACGTACACACACGCACACTCGCACACATGTACACGCATACTCGTGCACACACACACAATTTAATTTACTTTAAATACTTTTGGATTGTGTATAGCTCGAGGACTGCGTGAGCCTGAGGATGTGTATGCTTCCCCCTTTGACAGGCAGTATACCACAACGTGAAGCCAGCGGCCCTGCAGCAGCAATTGGAGAGTATTCATCTCACACAAGACAAAGCAGAAGCATTTGCCAACGCTTGGTCGGCTATGGGTCAAGAAACGGTTGAGAAGTTCAGGCAGAGGATTCTGGGCCCTCACAAGGTATAGGACGTGCTGTCCCAACATATTTTTCAAAAAATTATAGCAGCTAGTCTTAAAAATGATAACATTGTGGTAAGAGGTAAAGTAAGGCAAAAAGTCAAATATTCCTGCTGTGGGATGTCTTTCTGTACACTGTGATTATATATGTTGCTCCCATTGGCTAATAAATAAGGCAGCTTTGACCTATGGCAAGGTAGCTGAGAGGCAGGTGGGAAATCCAAGCAGAGATACAGAGAGAAGAGGGACAGAGTCGGGGAAGATGCCAGCCCTCTGTCCAAGGAGCAACATGTTATGGGACACAGGTAAAGCCACAGAACACTTGGCGATACATAGATTAATATAATCTATTATATTATGGGTTGCGTTATCAGAGCAAGCTAGCAAGAACCCTGAGCCAAAGGCCGTACAGTTTGTAATTAATATTAAGCCTCTTGAGTGATTGAAGCAGCTGTGGGACCACAGGTGGGAGAGATTCGTCCAGACCAAGGGGCTGGGCCATGTGATGATACATTATGTATCAAATAAAGCTTGCCTGAGGACCAGAGGACAGAGCCAGTCACTAGATTAAACATCGAGGCCAGGCAGTGGTGGCACACACCTTTAATCCCAGCACTTGAGATCTCATGCCTTTGCTACCAGTGTTTGGGAGGCACACACGCCATTAACCCAGCCCTAGCAAGGAAGTGAAATGGCTGGGTGGAGAAAAGTATATAAGGCGTGGGGGGACAGGAACTAGAGCCTTTGGCTGAGGACTCAGAGACTTGCACTCAGAGGATTCGTGGAGATAGGATCTTGCCTCCCTTTTGGCCTGAGGACTCCGTAGTCGTAAGAAGTTTCTCTAGTGACTTGTTCCTTTGTCTCTCTGATCTTTCATCATTTACCCTAATATCTGGCAGCAGGATTTTATTATAAGACCATTTAGGATTCAAGCAACAGGGTGAGACCAGAGAAACTTCCAGCTACATATTCCTGTTTAAGTTTTTCTACATATTAGCATATTTGTTACCACATGATTTAATTTTGGCAGTTGAAAATACACCTTTGTAATGTAAGAATAGGAATGAGATAGTCTCCTTACACCCTTGGCAGTGATTCTTGTGTTCCCAGGTGAGGCTTGTTTTTAACATTTACTGAGTCATATTCTTGCTTGTCTTTTGTGCATCTGCGTTAGTGCTGAGCACAACCCCATGTGTGTGATAGGTCCTGACTTAGCATCTGTCAACTCCCATAAACCAAACCCTGGGAGAGCCATAAAGTTAGCTGTGTCACGAGGCTGTCCTCAAACCTAACCTCACAGAGTTGGGGACGATTGGGCAGATTTTGCCTTTTCCTACTCACACTTTGTATGAAGTGAGTTTTCTGATGTGCAAACAGTTTTGTGTTCCTGGGGTAAATCTCCTGTGTCATCCTTTGAATATACTACTGGTTTGGTTTGCTGATAGTTTGCTAAAGATTTTTTCCACGGATTTATGGTACATCTGAGGTGAGCAGGGAGCTGCTCCTGCTCTGCTGTCCAGGAGTGGCTGTGAAGGATGAGCATTGTTCTGCATTCCCAGGAATGTGCTGGGGCAGCGGTTTCAGACTCTGCAGCACTTAGTATTGCCAGTTGGTTTTCTTTTTTTTTGTTGTTTTTCTTAAAACCACTGCATTAAGTTTGTGGTGCTGTCTTGTGTCTCTACCACACAGTTTTGGCAGTTTTTTATGGACCCGTCATGCATATGTATTCTGTGGTGAAGTGTCTGGATATTTTGCCTAACTGTGCTCCATCTGAGAGAAGACAGAGCTGTAGATCGATCTCATTGTCTTCCAGGCATACCACCTAGTTGTATATGTAGGCATACGTCCTATAGAGACACATTTTCTGAGGTTTAACAGAGAGAGGTGCTTCCCTGCGTTCCCTTCACTTGGGACTTGAATTCCAGTTCTAGCTCTCTGTGACATGGATGATGGGACAGTGTTTCTGCTGGTCTGCAGCTGCCTTTCTCTCTTCCATAGCTGTGTGTCCCACACAGCTAAAGCTTTAATTATGTTGAGTGTCTGTGTGTTATCACTTGGGATGTTCTTGACCCCATGCTCAGTTTTGTGCCTGAGAGTTTATAGACGGAGGTAGTATTACAGATGTTTCCTCTTCTGTTCCTTATCAGTGTTTTGTACAGCATTGGTGTTTTTCGTGTACACCTGAGATCCATTTGAACTACTTTTGGTTAAGGTGCAAGGTGCAGGCCAAGGCCATGCTTTTCTGTCTCTGTTGCACTGCATGCCAACATCGTTACTGTAGTTATTATCCGTTTATCTCCAAATTGTTTCTGCCCTCTGTAAAAATCATTTCATGTATTTGTCTTTTTCTGAATTCTCTGATTCCTTTGATCTATTTGTCTGTCTTTGTGTCAGAATATCCCTCTGTCTTAATTACTGGAGCTTTATTGTAAGAGGGCCAAGCATGGTGGTGCACCCTTTAATTACAGCACTCAGGAGACAGAGGCAGTGGGATCTCTGTGAGTTTGAGGCCAGCCTGATCTACACACACAATTAAAAAAAAAAATAGTCTGAGCTCGATGGCTTTGTTATCATTTGGGGTATTCTAGTTTCTTGCTCTTACATATAAATTTGAAAAATCAGCTTTCAGAATCTACAAGCAGTCTTACTGGCATATTAACTAAGATTGTGATTGATTTAACAATGAATTTGTAGAGGAATAATTTTTTATTTCAGTGTCCTTTATTTTTGTCACAGATCCTGTGCATATTTTGTTATTTTTTAGCTCAGTATTTTATTTTATTTTGTTTTTAAAGCTGTTATAAATATGCTATTTTTGAAATATTGGTTCCCATTGTTTATTGTTAGATACTGGAAATAGAAATAGAATTAACTCTTTAAAAATACTTTTTCTGTGATAGTGGAGATTGAACCCAAGGAGTGCTAGCAAGCTCTCAATGTCTTGATGTTTCTATTTTGACCTGCCCTATGACCCTATGACTCTAGTAATTTACTAATTAGGGATAGGACCTTTAAAAAATAGATTTATTTCAATTATTTTCAAGTACCTGGAACTCTCTCTGTAGACAAGGCTGCCCTTGAACTCACAGAGATTCGCCTGGCTCTGCCTCCCTTGTGCTGGGATTAATGGTGTGCGCCACCACTGCCCGGCAGCCCAGTACATTTTTATAATTATTTTTACATGGATATTTGCGACAGAGACCTCCCCCATCTACACAGCTCCCCCTTTTTATCTATGTCATATATATGTGTGTTTTCATGTGTGTCTGTGTGTGTGAGTGCTAGAGGCCACGTTGGGTGTTTCCCTTAATCCCCCCTCCCCTCATTTTGTTTTTTGAGACAGAGTTTCTCTGTAGGACCTGGAGCTCACTGTTTCCACTACACTAGGCTGGCCAGTGACCTTGTATCAGCCTGAGTCTGTCGTGCCGGTGTCGAGGTTCCATGGATGCTGGGGATCTGAACTCGGGTCTGCATGCTTGCAGAGCGGTCACTTTACTGACCTAGCCATCTTCCCAGCCCTCCTAGTCCTTATTTTCTTGTCTCACTTGATCGACAGTTTGGGGGAGAAAACACTGTCTCCTACTAAATGTTACCTCTCGATCTCCAGGAAATGTTCCGTGTTGTTTCCGTCCGAGTCTGCCTTCCATGTCTGATTGTCCTTGTACTTGTGCCTTGCTTTTCATTAGTTCAGTTTGTTTTCCCGCTTCCCGTGCATATTTCAGTTTTTCATTTTGTTTCCCTGAAATTCTTTTTTCTTTAAAGCATCTCCATTTAGAAAATCTTCCTTATATTAGTCTGATTTTGCGTGTTTTCCTCCTGTGTTGAGGGTCTGCTTCCCAGCATCTAGCATGGGTCTGCACTGCTCACTTGTTTACAGGCTCGAGCCAGGAGGTAGTTCTCAGTGTCTCCTGGACAGCTGCCTTTGGAGATAGCGATGATAGGTTCAGATGCTGCTTAGGAGTACGAAGTTGTCATAGGAAATATGAAAAATGGAAAAAAGAAACTTTCGGGTTGGGTATTGTGGCATATGTCTATTATCCCAGCATCTTGGGAGTCTAAGAGAGAAGGAAGGGTCACAAGTTTGAGGAAAGCCAGGACAGTGTAGTAATGTAGTAAAACTATTTCTAAAAGAATAAATTTGAAGGACTGAAGAAATTGCCTGTGTGTATGTATGTGTACCCCGTGTGTACCTGGTGCCAGCAGAGGACACAAGAGGGTATTGGATTCCCTGGAACATGAGTTACAGTTGAGTTTGAGCCTTCATGTAGGTCCGCGGCACTGAACCACTGAGCTTTCTCTTCAGTCCCCAAGCTATCTTTATATATATCTATTTTATATATATATATATATATGTGAATGACAGCATAGCAGTCCATTGTGAATATGTAGCCATGTCTTCTTGTTCATTCATCCATTGACAGACACTTAGGTTGTTAATGTGTCTTGGCTGTTGTGAGCAGTTCTGCAGTGGTCATGAACGTGCAGGTTGTCTTCAAGATGCCAGTTTCATTTCTTTTGGATATATGCTTAGCAAGGGTTTCCTGGGTCATGTGGTAGTTCTATTTTCAGTCTTTTTTGTCTTAATTAAATTTGTCTTTGACAGTTTCATATGTGTACACAATGCATGGTGACCATTTTAGCCTCAACCTCCCTTGTCTCCCTGCAGCCCACAGACACTCCTGCCTTCCCTCCAGAGCTTGTCCTTATGTACATACCTGTTCAGTTGGTTTTGTGACCGCTGAGTTTCACCAGGGCTGGCTGTGTGACCGTGAGCTTGGATCTGCACACTGTAGGTTGATGGATTCAGTAGTGGCTACACAGCTGATGGCTATGATTTCAGTTCCCAGAATCTATCAATGGCAGTTTTCAGTGCTTTGAGGAACACTCCTACCATTTTCAGTAATAGATGCACCAATTTATATTTCTACTGACAGTGTCCAGGGGTCCCTTTCTGTCTGTTATCTTGTATAGGTCTTTTTTTTTTTTTTTTTTTTTTTTTTTTG